CATGGCCATTAAGATCACCAACTATTATCATTTCTACATGACTCTCATCAGATCGACTGCTGAAGCAGATTCTTCCACCGAACTGATGAAATAAGCACCTTCCGGAGTCGATCTGATGAGGGTCACGTAGAGCTGATTTTCCCCGGAACCGAACTGCGGTGCGTACAAGGTTATTATTGTCTTGTACATACCCCTTCTTCATGTCTATTCTCACCCTGATCCTATTACTGAGCAGAGGCAGTTCTTAAAGAAATCTGCCACCGCTATGGTCACACCACTCCGCTTGGTGTCTCCCCCATTGTGGAAGAGTTTCACTTCTCCAATTCAACTCCTTTCCATAGCATTTCCTGAGGGGTTAGGGCTTGCACATTCCTGCATTTCATGAGGCCAGCAACCTCTCGAGACTTCTCGGGAAGGGATCTCACTTTCAGGGCCTCAGTTCGAACTGACCTCTTTGGCCGAGGTCGTTCTCCCGCAGTAGCTTTCGCATGCTGACCGCAGAACTCGGGCAAAAACTCTGCACGCAACTTTCGGAACTTTAACACTCTTAACCACTCGGCTACCCGTGCCCCTTGAAGGGTCTCAGGTGTGTGGATCGATTACAATATGTGCAGCAGCTGTATTGGATGCCGTCCAAAAAGGGTACTGACGGTGGGCTGAATTAAGAATGGATCATCTTCGTTTCGTCTAACTGAAAGGCAGCATAGGGCGCGATAATTTTGTACTATACTATACTATACTTGCTCTGAAATGCTAGCAGGGTGCTATATAGTGGGGAAAATGGCGAAAAACGAAGTGAAACGGTCAAAAACCTGCGAAGAAAAGCCTTCGTTCTCATGACTCAAAAAGCAATTTCGGACGAGTTTCCCGTAGGCATCTTGCCAATAACCGCTACGGTAGATACGGCTGCACGTATGTACTCATATATCCATGCAGCACCGCGGCCGCTTCATATCAATCCCTTCGCTTCATATTTTACTTCGCAAATGAAGCAATACGAGCATCAGGTACGGTCGTCCATTTGTGGGCGGGCGGGCGCGGTGGGCGTTCGGGTCGGTATGTTGTAGCTTGATAGGGCTCTTATAAGGATACCTTTCTTGATGAAGGCGCACCTGCTCAGGGTCGCGGAATTCCGTTCTGCCAGGCATATTAATCCTACTCGTTCGGGGTTGATCGTGCAACTCCCTTTACATAAGGTACAGCGGTAGTTGGGAGAACTTCATCAGGGATCACACTCGGTCTCTGGGGAATTGATGCAGACCCAGAATGGCATCGGTAGCGAAAACCGACTTGACAGCGCTCCAATCCACACCCGTCAGACCGGGATCACTGCTGGAAACGGATGCGGCTTATACCCCAGGGAACAGAGTACTCGCATGGTTTTTAGGCGTTCGTAACAGCTCTCTGATAGCAGGGCCACACTCACCAAGGCTTTATTTCAGTTCAGCAGCCATCACAGAATCACGACCGTTTCTTTCGGAAGACTGTCCAATTCAAGTTCCATTTCGCAGTACCAAGTTCAGAAGGAAATGACGTTGCAGATGGTCCCTATAAGTGGCACTATTGGTGGGTCGGATACTGCCCATATAAGACGTGGAGTGATCGATGAACACCAAAGACTTTATTCTGTTACCAATGTTAGCAGTAATCAACAACGGCATCATAAACAACAACAACAAAACAGTAAAACCTTGGTTGTCGCCTGTCGCGCCCTATTGCCAAAAATGGGCGGGCTCTAATGGACGAGTTTCCTTTGCGAATGGCTGAGGTCAAGATTGTAATATTTGCAGATTTCTCGTTGCTTCTCCTTGAACTCATATGAAGTAACATCATCCAATCTGTTGTATTCAGTTAAATTTGGGTGATTTTTCAACCGTCATGTTACCTGAGCCAAGCAAAGGAAAGAAGAAGCCAGATATTGAGGACAAGGACAAAGCAAAAAAGAGTGACAAGGTTGTTAGTTTTTTATTGATATCCTTCTTATTCTTTTTGTTAATGTTTTCTGTATTTTAACAAGAAGTCCAACCCTTAAAGTGGTATTATAGCGACGAAATTCGCTTACTGATTCGTCAACGTTCTCAACTTCCACGTCGTCGAATAGCAGTAGTGTAGACAGCGACGAGGCAGTCAGTTGGCTTGGAACTTTGTGCGACTCAAAAGGGACCATGACCGTGCCTACGGAAAATGTAGGCAACACAGAAGAAAAAAGCTTGCAAACCTGAATTGCATAAGGTGAAGCAACAACCATTTCAACTTTCATCCTTTTGCCCCTTCTGCGATTAGTTTTCCAGACACTCGGCTGGAAAGTTGAAGGAGGGTAATATACTTTGGTACGCTTTTATTATCTTCAAATATATTTTTGATTCAATTCTGAATAGTTTCTACTTTTTTTCATGTTTTGTGATAGCTTCACTACATTTCTACAAGTCACTGAACGTGTTTCACCCTGTTGACGTCGGATGAGAAACGCCTGAAAAATTTTGGAGCTGGAGAGAATGTCATGTATTTTGCATTGCGGTATAGAACTCTCTCTTGGCGGTTCATCCCGTTGGGAATTTTCGCTAAATGCGCTCCTCCTCAAAATTTCGCCTACGGTACAACGCTCTTCCCTTCCCATCCTAAGCTGCAAATTTCCTGACTTTGGTTGTTGACTTTCCTAGGTATTCCAGTTTCACATGTGCTACACCCCCTTCCCCTTGCCGCTGGGCGACAAAATTTTGGTAACAGTTTGGAAAAAAATAGTAGGAAGTTGGGAAAAATCAGTAAGATGGTAGGTAGGACGGGGCGGGGAAGGGGTGGGTGGAGGTTGTAGGGAGGTCGCGTCAGAGGAAGAGATTTGTTAAGGGTCGCGCTTCCCATGAATTCCCCCCTTGTGTTAGGTCGTGCCCTGGCAAATCAAGAGCAGCAAATAGTGTCTGTCTTTGAATATTTGATTTTTGTTGAGAATGCTCTTCAACCCTTTCCATTTTTTTCTTTTTTTATTTGGCTAAAAAGCAGGCAGCCTCATCAAAGTTGTGCGTCAAGAACGGGAAAATTCCAGAATAAAGCTAAAATTTGACGTAAGGAAATATTCATGTGACTTTCAAAAAATTGTTGATTCCTCTGGAAAAATTTATTACATTAAGCTTCTCTAGCATCGCAATTTGAAACGTATGGGCTCCATGAAATTTACTCGTGAGGTTCTCAAAGGTCTGTTTGAAGCATTTCAAAAATGCAACACGTAGGCGTTGGAATCCAGCAATTTACTCCTCGATGGTAGTTGACTTACCTGTTGTGAAAAAAGCTAACGCAACGTGGGAATGTCCTAATTAAAGTCCCGACGTCGGACGTCTATTCAAAGGAGCGAGACATCGATGTGTGGTGAGAGAACAGAGACAATCAGAGATAAAGGGAAGACGAGTGACACGATGGACGCGACCCCATGCAGGTACTATGGGGTCCCACTCAGGAATGAAAACAATGCTTGCTTATAGTCAGGTGCGCAGCGGATGGTAAGGCGTGTCCACACGGCTGCGTTTGACGTGGCGCCAGCATATTTTTTCCTTTTCTTTCGGCAAGTGGCAGACTATAAGGCTGCATCATTTATTTCGTATCATCGTCTTCCATCAGGTGTTGTCGCTAACCTGCTTCAACAACTGGTGGAGAATGGACGTTTCTCGGCGTGCCAAACGCAGCCGCGCGGACACGCCCCATCACCGCAGCAAACTAGGCTGTAACTAGGTTTGTTAAATACAGAACCGATCGCACAGAATTCCCTCTTCACATGTCCGAATCAACGTTATCACGTTCCTACAGCCGATAGTGGTCGCAACCCCTCCCCCCCACCCTCACAAGTTGTCCAGCCACAAAAGGGGACCACGTATGCTTTTCATCGAGATTTCTTTGAATACTAAATCAACTATACAGCTGATTCAGAATGTAGTCATTTTGTGATCACTGAGGCTGCAATGTCCATGTTATTTCCCTTTGCACTCATATTTTTGTTCAAAAAAAACTTTTAACTGTGAGATTTCGTTGACTAACTTCATTTTTCGGCGTATAAGCTAATTTTGTTTCGTTTCAGTTTCGGCGACCGATTAGAACCGATAACACTGCAGCCGAAGAATATCGACGACTTCATGGTTTCAGGAGCATAGCAGATGATATTAATGTGAGGTTTAATAGCAGCGCTTTTGTGTTCATATTTTTTAATGATTTCTCAACTAATGGATTCACAATTATTCCTTTATTTATTCTGTAGACATGTCAAAGAACATGTGAGTGGAGGTAAGAGAATCGCGATTTCCTATGAAGCTATAGACAAAGAAAATTGTACAAACATTGTATGACATTACAAACATTGAACTGCGCAATATTTTTGTACTTCTAAGATAGTATTCTGTTGCTCCTTCGTGACATTCAACACTAGAAGAAAAGAATTACAGTAACTGGAAAAAAAATCGGAACAAGCCCAAAAATCTTTGAATCGATTGGTCCATACCGCTAGCGTTTTTGGAGGGCGTACGATCCGCCACTGCCCTAAGTCAATCGATTCCCTCCTCATCCTTTTTCGCGCATTCCGCTGAATCGCGCGTTCCCCGAAATTGCGGATGCTCCACATTAATAAAGTATGAGCGTTGCCCAGGCTTTCTCATGATTTTGTTTTCCTTTACTGATGATAAACTTTACACTCACCTCCGAGGAGGGTCCTTGCGATGTGCGAGGTGGCTGGGTCCGCAGCTGCACCCTTTTTCTCCCGTTAAAAAGGCTCGGGAAAGGGGCTGGAGGATAGTGATACCCGAGCGTCGTCTCCATACTCCATCCGTGTTGTCCTCATGTGCAGCACTTGTGTCGACGCAAGGTCCTGCGAAGGCCCTGTGAAGCGAAACATGCTGAGTGGTAGGTGTGACAGGAGGCATAGAAGTAGCGCTTTGGCTTTGGCTAGGCGTAAGTTTGACCATGCGGCAACTCGAGCAAGTATGAAAATGGCACCCTGGTATCACTATCCTCCCATCCCGTTCCCCTGCCCTTTTGACCGGAGAAAGTGGCACGCTACTGCACCCTAGACTGTTGCACTTCCAGGCAAGGACCAGGATCCACGAACATGAGTGTACAGTCTGTCTTTAATATTGTGTTGTTCAATTCATCATTTCATACTCCGAGAAAATGTTATTTTCAGAATGCATTCGCGGTCGAAAACAAAAATCACAGTCCTACTGCCGACAACAATACAAAACCTGCTGTGATTCAGACCAAAAAGAGGGTTGAAAAACTACGAAAGGAGCGCGAGAAGAAGGACAGAAAGGAACGCGAAAGAGCTGCAGCGGCCAAGGTGCCAATTTTTTGTGCTGAAAATAGTTATTTATTTTGAAATGGTATTTTGCATCTGTTTTATTACAGAAAGAAGTGGAAACACTTGAAGCGAACCGACAGTCAGCACTGTTTGAATGCGAAAAGGAACGATGTGTTAGAGAAATGGTTAGGTGTAACCAGCGCCGTGGTCAACATACTCTTGGACCAGTTCATTACGGGTTCGTTTTTTCCTCTTCGATTAAGTTGAACTGGAAGCTACGTTTCGGCTTTTGCAAGACGTAAGTGGTGGGGTTCATAAAAGGAGGTAATGTAAGAGATGGATTATAATAATAATAATGAATAATTGACTTGTCAGGCGCCATTTTTTACCCTCACTAAACACCAGCAATGTTCTGATTATATGATTATTGCTTATTTAACGGCTCTCTTCAACTGGCCTGACAAAGAAAAAAACGCCTTGTGTTCCCTGAACAAGGCCTCTTAAATTTCGAGCGTGAGGCGGAGGTGGTTGTGGCAAGTGTCACGCTTATCACTTGCGCGGTCCAGAGATTAAATCTCAAATCGACTCTCGCCCAGGCCAACGAGGCCTACCAATCGGGGACTGTAAATTGCCACCATAGTCGTCTGGGAAGATCAGAATATCGACTTACACATCGGCTGACCCTCGGAGGTCATTGTATAGGCCACATCACATTCAATAAACCGCAACGATTTTGAGTGAAAGAAGAATGCGTGGTGCATCCCATTAGTACGATCACGATATGCAATGGACTTTCTCCTTTATTCCTCTGAACATCAATTGAATTTGAAATAATTTATATAAGTATTTTCCCATTGTATTATGCGTTGCAAGTAAAAGAATGAAAGGCTTGAAAGTCTGTGCCGGTAAATCAATCCCTGACCTGGCATCGATATGCATTCTACAATCGTAGCGGCAATATGAATGTCAGACAGAAAGGCCTATTCGTTGGCCGGAAGTGGAGCCAGTCCGTAGGGTTTAATCCACGACGTGGCGCGTGGATAAGGCGACGACCACTTGGCCACTATACCCTCCGCAGCGTCGTGTTCAAATAAATTTGAGTTAAAGTTTGTGTACTGGGTGGCGGGTATTATTCACGTTTCCTTGTGGCAGACATTCGTGATGTGTGAAAATGAATGGTGGGACGTACGACCCCCCTCCGTAGGGAGGGTACCATTACGACCGCTCCACCAAAAGAGGGGCTGGTACGCAGCACGCTCCATATCCAACACATAACCTACCGATTTTCCCACATTTTCCCTGTTCCACTCAAGGGGGGAAGGAGATTCGAATACCTACACAAAAAAATAGGAAAAACCACCAAACAGGCAACGCGGAAAAATTGTCTTCTCAAAGCGGGCGAACTCCTTATCCAAGGCGCGTGCCTCACCCCCCCCCCGCCCCCCTCTCCCAAACGACGACCAAATACGACCCCCCTCCCCTACGTGTTTCACACAACGATGCTGTACCCTATATGCAGATGTGGTGTACGTAGAACGTGGGAAATTTTGTGAGGACCACCCTTCTTGACAATCTGCGCAAATCCGTAGCCATTAAAGGCTTGTTTGCTTGCACACTGTTTGATTTTAACGTTACTCAGGTCGACCAGTATGATGGCATCAATGGACTCTTCTTCTTCTACACCCAACGAAACGATCCGATTGGCCAAACAAGAAGAGAAGCTCCGGGCCTGCGTTGGTTTCGGAATCGCAGCCACTGGAGTTTATGATTGTGTTAGTAATGTAGAGTCTTCTTCGCTGCGAGTGTTGGCATTGTCAGGGGGCTGGGCTCAGCGCTGCGTCAAACCCAGCCCCCTGACACGCCCCAGCGTCAGCAGCGAGAACCATTGTACTTATCACTGGCCCCTTTTTCTGGGTCATAAGCTGCTCTGATTCACACAGATGCTCTGCCTGTATGAAGGCCCTTACTTTTGTTTCTTTTTTTTACAACAGCATCTGAGACAATAACTTTTATGTGGTCGAGTAATCGGGTTCGCCAAGTACAAATCGAGCAGAAGGGAAGCGAAAAAAGAAAGCAGTTTTTTTTCTCGTGGAGTTTCGCAAGCTGGGCTCAAATCGAAAGGGAGATTCGTAAGGAGAGCGGCTTATACCCTAGAAAATAGCCTCGTTATTCATAATCGTGCCCTTTGGAAGACTACACATTTAGCTTCCGAAGATTGCTTGTGCTAGAGTGGCAAAACCGCCTTATTATTCTGATCTTGTTGGAGCGCATAAAGAAAACTGGAGGGAAAGTTACCAAGACGTGAGTGGCGGATACTTATTTTGATGCATTTGTGCTTCCATACAAATTACTATTTTAGTCTTATTTACGGGAACATAACCACATTGGAGCGCTTTATGTGGAGAAAGATGCCTTAGAAAGTGTGGCATTTACGCTAGAAACGGTGAGGATCTTTACACAAATATATGATTTTTTAGTTGGATTTACCGAACAGAGTTATCGAATTACAGATCGCTACCATGGTCAATTCTGTTTATTCGAATAAGTGGCTTAGAAAACTGTTAATACTAGTTTTACGAGGAAAGATTCGAAAGGTTTGTGTTGAGGAAAATAAGGGTGCGTTCAGACTTGGCGTCAGCGTCTACCAGCGTGCACCCGCGCATCGAGTGACTAGGGAAGCATAGTTATCAACCTAGTGAACAGCAGCGTCCTCCAGCAAACAGCAAAGTTTTCGCGGACAGTTTCACTTAAGTTCAAAAGTGTCTGCAAAAACACTGCTGTGCGCTGATGGTCGCTCTTGGACGCTGCCTTTCGCCGGATTGATAACTATACTTTCCTAGTCACTGGCGCCGGCGTGCGCTCGAAACGCTGGTGGACGCTGATGGACCCTGACGCAAAGTATGGACGCAGCCTAGCTCTATCAGTCTGCGTAGTTTTGGCCCACTTAGACTGTTTCAAACAATTTCCTCCTTCCTTGTTTTCGAGGTTTCACCCTTTGTGAGGGGCATATTCTAGCTTTTCCTCAACGAGTTCTTTTAATGGAACTAATTTTTAGGTTTGGAAAAGAATAATGATTGTTGCTGAAATACTGCGTGATCATAAAAGTCATAATCATAATTTCAATTTGTATGGACTTACACCTATGGTTGAATTCATTATGGAGGTTTGTCATGCATGTATACTATTTTCACTGTAAGTCGGGCACTTTTCAATAAAAGCTGGACGTTTTTGAGAACAAA